AGAGAGAGAGAGGAAGGGGGGGAGGGAGAGAGAGAGAGAGAGCGAGAGAGAGAGAGAGAGAGAGAGAGAGAGAGAGAGAGAGAGAGAAACCCGCTGTTTTACGGTCGATTTTCTGTCCAACAAGGGTACCATCTACTACTATCTACTGTCTGCCGTTCAAAAGAGCCGTTGAAACATATCTCGACCTGAGTGCTTTCTTGTCATATCTCCATTTTAAGAACGGTAGAAACAGTCCAGAACAAAGAGTGGGCTTAAGAAGAAATCACATTGTCAATGTAAAAAAAAAATGGAGATAGGACAAGAAAACCCCGAGGTCGCGACATCCCAGAATACCAGGCACGGCCAATGGAGGGTGGACATGACGCCAACGTTGATGCTGAAAGGTTCTATTTGTGTTGATTGTAGTTTATACATACTTTTCTCGGAATTCCTTCCCCTTTTCTGGAAGGGTTTCCGTAACGAGCGACCACCCCAACAAACACAACATAGAAGAGACCTAACCCATACCCTGACCCAACCCCTAACCCTTCCCCTACCCCTAACCCTATCCCTACCCCTATCCTTACCCCAAACCCTAACCCAAACCCCAATCCTAACACTCTATTCTACCGTTTCATGGTGGTCGCTCGTTGCAGAATTCCTCCTGTTTCCTCTATAATCGAAACAATCTAATCTAAGTCATTTAGTTAGCGCTCCGTGTTTCGACCGTGCCTATCGGGGTCGACCCGGATTGAATTATCAGTATCCCAGAACGTGTGAGCATCTTTACTTGTGCAATGACGATGTGTGAAACTATCTATTCACAGACGCCCTGTTTTATCTCTTGTACTGTGACGTCTGGCTACGCGGGAATTAAATAATAACAAAACTTGTAGCTCTCATTTCATTAAGCTCAAGATATGATTCTTTCTGATGTGTACCTACATGTGTTTTTACCGTCCACTACAGCCAAGAAAAATGACTCTCTGGGATAATAAAGTATTATCTTATCTTGTCTTGTCTTGTCTTGTCTATCTTATCCTTTCTCATCTTACCTTGTCTTATCTTATCGTATCTTATCTTTACATCAGCGAACCTCTCATGGGTGCATTCTACTTACAAGCGGAACTCAGACGGGAACAGAAATAAAGAAAGATGGTATCATTGTAGTTGACATTCTTTTCCATCACTTGTGGGTGGTGGTTTGTCTTTGTCTCAATCTCACGTCTGCGAGTCTCCAGGGGGTCATGGCCAGTGACGTCACACGATCAATCGACTCGAACCCGCTCTTCTCGGTGACCGTAAAGATGGTTCCTGTAGAGAACGGGATAGAGGGTACCCACGTTCCCCGTGACTCATTGGAGCAGAGGAAGATAGGACTAACGCTAACATTACTTAAACGCAATACCTCGTCATACTCATCACCCCCATTATTTCTAACATCATCTCCGCTCTCAGATCAATGACTTACATCTATAATCCTTTAATCTCTGTCTGCTGTAACAGTTACTTGATATACTAAGTATGCACGTAATACACTATTGGACACTATCGTACGCATTTTTTTTTCTACTTATCAGATGGGGTCAATTTCATATCAATAGGCAAGGGATTAACCCTATCCGTACGTCGTGTTTTACTATCATATCCATACGACGTGGGGAACTCTGTCCTACTTTTTTCCAAAGAGGAAATTTACTCGTTAATCCGATCCGTATGCTTTGCATAACATTATGTCAAAATGATTTTTTGAAAAATACTGAAAGTTTAAAAGAGATCTTCGTACTAGAAGTATTCTAAAATGTGAAGAATACAACCCCGGGGGTACACAATGACCTCAGGGCGCACGGATAGGATATTAAAAAGTCGACTTTAACCCGCCATCCTTTCTGCCCCTCAGCTCTGAGGGTCGTGGCCCTCCTGGGATCGTACTGGTCAACTCCCGTGGTCACATGGGCGCCCGTCCAGAGACTGGTCATCGAGCAGAGCTCTTACGGTGACGTCATATCCGCTTTTGGAGCCTACGAGGACTTCGCGGGGGCGGCCATCACCATGACAAACTACCTGGGCTGGAGCCACTTAGGTGAGAGCTTAGCCACTAATTTCAATTGATTTTAAAATCAGGAAAAATAAACTCGAACCTATGTTGTATATCTAGTCAAATTAATATCTTTATACTCAGCTGATTAAAATCACAGTTTGAAGTTGGGTTTTAATTAAAATCTTTGTAGAAACAGTCTTATTTGTTTTGTTTGGGGTTAGGTCGTTTAAAAAAAAATTGGGGGCGGG